TTTTTCTATCTCTCTGTACCCCGTTCCTTACACTGATCAGCTTTTACACAGCAAATAAACACACCCGGTAAATTACGTCTTCGGGACTTCAAACAAACACAAACCACAAAGCTCCTTCCTTCTTGGGCGACGAAAACTGACTAACTCTTTTTTTCTTCTCTCCTATCTCATAGCCAAAACCACTACCTCCATTGCATTCAAAAATTGACCAATAAAAATCATCCACCTCTGTGACGTATATCGTTACCAACCAACTCTCTTTATAAAACGTCATTCGGGTAATTCCAGAAAACAACATTCTTTAATTATTCTAACTAAATCTATCTGCTTTACAAATATTTCTTACTAATAGCTACAAACGATACCTGTTTCTCAATTCAATGTCTTTTGTTAATAAACTTTTACCGATATAATCTTTCGGGGAGAAAAACCACCGCAAATCCCGGTCTATTGTTTAAACACTGTCTACATACACTTTATTTCCGGGTAAATCCATGCCACAATAACCGACTTATTTAAATTTCTTATCGATAATATTTGAAAGTCTTGTCTCTGAGGCCTAATGAACAATTCTTCGAACAACTTAAAATACATATTTTGTCTTATACAGGATGTTTGAAAATTTATATGCCCGTGTCTTTATGAAATATCAATAATTTTAATTTTTATTTAAGTAATAAAATTTGTATATCGGTTTTTTATTGCTAATGGACATTCAAAAGTACAACAATATATATATATATATATATATATATATATATATATATATATATATATATATATATATTTATATAATATATTATATATATTTATATATTATGAATGTATAATATGAGGTCTTTAAAAAGTTACTTTGGATGTATGTAGTATGTTGTGAACTGGAACATATTTTTCGTAGTTATAATGGCGACACATTAAAAATAACAAAAAATTATTTAAAAAACTTAATAGAAACTGCAAAATATGTAAATGTTAGCAAAGTTGTAAAATTACTTTTTTTTTTTAGATGTAAAATATATTTTAAAATGCGAATTTTAAATCAAAATATTAAAGATAATTACAATACCGCAAAAGAAAAATCACAAAGATTATAAAATAAATGTCTAAATGATATTCATAAAGCCTCAAGTATGACCCGCTTTTCCATTTTGCTCAAATTCTTTACATTTTCCCGGTCTTTTATTTTTAATTTATGTTTTGTAGTAATATTTATTTTGTTTGTAATACACACAATCAAATCGTAGATTCATATATTTCTTTAATTAATTTTACAAATTACTTATTAATTTTCAAAACACGTTTTCACAGAAAGTAACTAGTTATGACTTCTTAGTGCAAGATATGGCATCGAGGTATACTTACCGTTAACAGTTTAAGTTTTGAAGTTGTTCATATGATGCATCGTTAAAATATGATACATATAAGTTCCCTGGCTTTGTCTCGCTATGACGACATGCGCAAAGTCAATTAAAATTAGAACAGCAAGTGAGCATATCTTGTTGTTATAGTATCATGCATGATACTATGAATAACAAGATAGGATCTTCCCGTAGCACAAAATCGGTCGTGTTCGCGCATGCCGTCATTGGAGAGTAGAATTTGAATTCTTGTTAAAGTTAAATGGGATTTGTATGCATTCTGTGATGAAATTACTAGACGAAAATAAGTTAAGAGGTTCAATAATTACAATAATCGTACACATAAGGATATCTCCAAACTATTTATTAAAGATTATTTATTGACACATACAAAAAACTGACATTTCGAACGTGCAACTCTCCAATGACGTCACGACTTATGCGCAATATCTTATCTTCTTATCATAGTATCATGGTATCATGTATACTAACCATGTGCTGCGTTCGATGGTGTTGGGGTTACGTGCAGAGAGAGAAAGAGCGATGTTGCCGTGATGCGGCGTTACCGGCTTTTTGATTTGAATTTTAATTTTTTTTCTTTTTTTCGTAAATTCACCTTCCACCTAAGAGATCTAGCGATGAAGGACCATAAAGGGAAACGATGGGGTTATTTCACCATTCCCGTAGTGCACCAAAACCCCTTGTGGTGACCTATCTTGATTTGTTACAGGATTTAAGCGTTGGTTGTTGATTCGTTTTTTTTTTACTCTTGTGGGGGTGAAATTATACACTTACACCTTTTTATCTTCGCTTTATTGTACTTGCACAATACTTTACATATATACACTTTGCAACACTACACTAACTTATAATATTATGCTCTTGTTGTGTGATACGGGTGAGAGAGAGAGAGAGAGAGAGAGAGAGAGAGAGAGAGAGACGAGGAGAGAGAATAACTTCTTTAGCGACTTCTTAACTTGAACTACTTAATTCGACTGACTTTATGCTTATATGTAATATGTGACTGGGAAATTGGGCAGAGGGACAAAGGGTGAGCGGGTGTGTGAGAGGCGTCAAATACGCTAACGATTGTCTGGTTCTTTTTACTAATAACGGCTAACATGCGATATTCAGGAACAGAGGCGGCGTTAGGTTAAATTGGAACAGTTAAAGAATTAATCGGTCTTCCAACAGAAAACGTCACAAAAAACATCATAGCTCGGAAGAAACTTGATATTGTCGCCATTGATATGTTGAGCGATCCGATAATGACAACACAGAGGAATAAACACATCCTAGTTATGGTGGATATTTTTTCAAAATATATCAAATTGTACCCATGTAGAACCACGAAGGGAGTCGAAATACTTCGGAAAATCGACGATTTTATGGAACAGTGGAGAGACCAGACAATATCTTATTGGAAATTGTTCTGAAGCTATTTTCTTGTGGCATTGTAAATTAATTACTATTTAACTGTTTAACAGTAAATATTTACTGTTTGTATTTTGAGAACGATTTCCGAGGTGGAAGTTGAAACGTCAATAAACGTATTTTTATCTTTAATTGTGGCTTATTCCCAGTTAAATAGTAATTAATCTTATTGGATAATGCGACATATTTTAGTAATGAACGTTTTAAACGGGAGTTAAGAGAAAGAGGTGTGAATACGAAATTTATAAGCATCCGCTATCCACAGAGTAACCCATCGGAGCGTTTTATACAGGAAGTCACTAAATTTCTACGAATTGCAGCTAAAGAATCCCATCGCCATTGGGACAGAAAAGTGTTGGAGATTGAGACATATTTGAACTCTGCGCCAAACACGGTTGCCGGAGAGACGCCATTATATGTCATGAAAGGAACAATGCCTATAAGACCGTGGGAAGACAACGCCCCAAGACAATATGAAGAAGTGATCGAGGTGGTTCAAAGAAGATTAAGAAGAAGTCAAGAGAGGAACCGAAGAAGAAGGTCGATTATTTTCCAGAGAGGGTATAAAGTTTTAGTGAGGGCACTGAGGGTGTCGAATTTACAAAATGGTGTGTGTGCAAAATTGATGCCAGTATTTGAAGGTCCATATAGAGTAAATACGGAAAATGGGATAAACAGTTATGAATTAGCGTACATAGAAACATAGATATCATGAGTAAATTTCAATAACATATTGTAATAATTTGACCGTTGAAAACTTTTGTCATTTTATAAAAAAAAAGATAAAGAGTTTTTCGGCGAATCACGTGGCGGGGAGTTGTTATGGTATTCAAAATTGAAGAATAAAGATATTAAATGTACGATGAAATCAATATTTCAGAGATTATATAAAGTAAAAATACTCCGAACTGGGAATTAACCAAAGGTAATCTTAGTCATAAATATTCTTTTGTATAAATGTAACAAGTGGATAGTGCGGGTACAATGAATAGAAGTTAACGATGGTTTTTTCCCATGAGCCATAAAGTGTTCCGTAATCCGGCTTTGCGCCATGAACAGGATAATAAAAATGGTTAATAAGTAAATGGTTTTTCGGAATCTGTCTTGTAGAAATAATATGAATTAGGAAAGTTTGTAGGTATTTCTGATTTTATGTGGGGAGTGGTATGCAAATTTCTGATTGGCCGAGAATTTGGAAAGTGGTGAGATGGGTGTGTATAATGAGAGGTTGGATGGATGGATAGATAAGATGAGATAGTTAGTTAGTTCCAGTTTCTTAAAGTGAATGGTTGGTTTTCGAGGTGGTCTCCAGGGGTAGTAAGTGATAAAGAATAAGTTGTGAGTTGGTGAACTAAGTGTATTGTACGGTAGCTGATCTGGTTCAAATTTGTAAGTAAACTTTTCCTACTTGTTCTACGTTCTACGTATCGCTGTTTATTTCGGAATGAGAGAGATTAAGTTTGGCGAGAGGAAAAGAGGCTGGCATCATTGGAAAGGTACGTGCATTCGAAGGAGAGCATTGAAGACACTAAATTGCAATATCTTGTTTAATATTGCCAATTACATAGGAGGCTGCTGAGAACTGATAGTTTATTTTGCATAGAACGAGGAATTGGACAACTCAAGGCAGAGGAAGCGTTTCAACGGGAGAAACATTCATAATTAATTTCAATTTGAGAATTTTGGGTCAAATAATATATCATATTAGTAAAGTGTGAATAATTTGTCGATAGTCGAAGGAGATCAAATTGGTTCTGAGAGGAGACGGAGCTCTGGAGAGAATTGGATAATTCATACAAATTTTTCTTGGTACAAACGATATACCAAAATTGCATTAGGAAGGCCACTGAATATTACTTGATTTGTTTATGTAGAATAATAAGCTAGATTTTAGATTATTATTGTATTATATTATCCATGCATTATTGAAGGTTCACGTACGTAGAACGATTTTTATTTGATAAACATTGTATGCTAATAATTTTTGGAGGTATTTTAATCAGTTTATTTTATTACATTATTTTCGTATCATATTATGTTGTTTTATTCCGTTATCCTTTGAACCTAACCCATCAGCTTTATAAAATATAGACCACATAAATTCGTGAGTGTTATAAGTATTGAACCTTTAATAAATTAAATTAAGAACAATAAATTAGGACTAATAAAATCATTATAGTGGTGTTCAGAAGTGAATAAAAGTGTAAACATGGCTACGATTTACGAGCTCACAGTTACGAATTTAAGAAGGCATCTTGAGGACAGAGAATTAGCTATCTACCGGATTAGAAATCTACCGGAAAAAAGGCTGAGTTAGTCCAACGACTAAAGAAGGCTTTTTTTTTCCAACGACTAAAGAAGAAGGCCAAGGAACAAAGTTTCTGACGATATTTCGAAAGTTTCTTCCGATGTAGCCAAAGTTTCCTGTGATATCGCATCATTAGAGAACAAAGTTTCCGGCGACATCGCTTCGTTAGAAAGCAAAGTTTCTAACGAGATTTCTTCTCTGGAAAGCAAAGTTTCTGCCAACATCTCTAAAGTCACCTCTGAGATGTCTGCCCTCGAAGATAGAATGTCTTCATTAAAAAACCAAGTTGCTGCCGATATGTTGGCCTTCGAAAAAAATAGATGGAAAGGAAGATGGAGGGAACAGGAATGGCAGAGAGAGGAAATAATCCAATTACAGTAGAGACAAAAGAAGACGAGGTGAAATGTAAGTTGGAAACACGGCCGAAATTTGAAGGAAGTGCAGTTTCTGTTCATGTTAAAGTCCCAACTTTCGACGGAAAATCGTCATGGAACAACTACATGAAACAGTTCGAATCAGCTGCAAGAGCGAATGGATGGTCTGAAAAAGAAAAGGCTGTAAACCTGACTATCGCTCTTCGAGTAGATGCTTTAGATGTGCTTCAGACCATAGCCGTAGAGGAGACAGATGATTTCGAACAACAGAAGAAGAGGTTAAATATGCGATATGGCCATGAACACTTGGAGCATGTATATCAGTCGCAGCTCAGAAATCGAAGACAAAAGAAAGATGAGGCTCTTCAAGAATATGAAGTAGATATTGCCAGATTAGTGCGATATGCTTATCCAACAGCTCCCGAAGACATGATGGAAAAGTTGGCCATTCAAACGTTTATTGATGGTCTTCGTGATCATGAAATGCAGAGAACACTAAGATTAGCTCGTCACAAGACGCTGGTTGATGTCTTATCCGCCGCCCTCGAATACGACTCAGCTACACAGGCCTCTGGTGGGTACAGTAAAGTAAGGACTGTAAAATACGAAGAAGATGAAGATAAACTTGACCAGCTCGTTAATATGATGAAAAGTATGACACACAAGAAAACGAACACCATAAGACCGAAGACAAGACCAGAACGAGTCGGCCTCGGGGGAGCAGCTTCGACCCAGAACTTTTCCAAAGACCCTCTCATACTAATAACTTCTTTGAAATGTCGTGAAGATAGTGTATATGTAGATGGAGAAATAAATGGTAAAAATCATACGTTGTTGGTGGATACCGGAGCGACCAGAAGCATTATACGCCCGACAGTTATAAACAGCCGAAAGAAACTGTTACCAACGAGGTTGCGACTTCGGACCCCCACAGGTGAAAATGCCAACATTCGTGGAGAAATCCAGGTACAATTAGGAATTGGAGCAGAAAAGTTCGTCCATACTGTTAGAGTTGCTGACATCGAAGAGGATGTTATAGTAGGAATGGACGTAATTAATACGCATGGATTCCAATTGGATTTTAAGAATAAGGTAATCAAAGTTGGTAACGAGGAGGTATTTCTCCATCCACATGATGACAACACTATGCAAGCAGCCGTTAAAGAAGATACAGTCGTACCTGCGAGAAGTAAAACGATAATAGTAGCGCGCCTACAGGGAATTATGGACGAAGGGATACCTGTTATGATGGAGCCTTGGAACCATGAGGACGAGGTTGGCCGAGGAATTATAATTGGAAAGGAATTGGTGACTTCGGCTAAAGAAATACCTGTGAGACTTATCAATGTCAATGACTATCCAGTCACCATTAAGAAAGAGACAAAAGTAGGAACTTGTGTACCTGTGACATCCATAATCCGTCAGACGACAACATCTGATAATTCCAACGACAAATTCGACCAAATGGTTGCAGTTGCTGGACAGTCTCTGAATCAGATTAAGAAAAGGAAATTAAGGGAATTTGTCAACATTAAATATTCAATTCTTTTTTTAATTTTATTTTAACTTTAATATTTTATTTTCTATTAACCATTTATTCTCACAGTATTATTTTTAAATCATTAATTTTTTAAAGTAAAGAAAAAGTCTTCTAGACGTAGGATTTCAACCCGAATCAAATATTTACTATACCTTCGTACTACTCGCTACACTACGGGCGATTAATGTTATGCGCTCAAAAGAGTATAATAATATAAATGCGGTTAGCGCTAAGAATTTAAAATATAGATACATCTCGTTTTGATTGCTGACATAATAAGTGACAAGATAAAATATACTGAGATAGAAAAAAAGTTAGCAGCTTAGATTCGCGAAATAAATCAGTGCAGTAAGAACTCATTTATACCCGAGAACCACGGCCGTTCGCCTTCTACCCTTGGAAACCAACTGATTATCTTTTCTCTCTCAAAAATCTAGCTACACTTTCATTCCTACATACCAATCCCACCTTTTTTAATCTCCGCCAATCAAAGCTCGTCACAATTCTCCCATTTTTTCATTTCGATAACAAACAAATTTTTACCTATAATTATAAAATTTCCTAAAACTTATTTACAAATAATATTTTTCTACAATTCTTAAAAACTAACAAAAACCTCTTTCTAAAATCTATTCTATTGTCCTTAATCACTGCATTAATGTATTTGGAAAACCCAGTTCAATTGTCTTTGGATTTCACTTAAAAATTATGCGGGTCACTCAAGTTTATTATAACAAAGAAAATAATTTATGCATAGCTTACATTTTGTTTAATACAGGTAATCCAAAAATTTAAAGACTTTCCTTCATCGAAATGTTTGTTGGTTATTATCCTACTTATCTAAATTATTTTAATGTTTTTGAACTTTATATTTTAAACAATATTGTAAACTGAAATATTTTAAACAAATCAATATTTTTCTCGATTTTACATATCATAACAATATATATATATATATATATATATATATATATATATATATATATATATATATATATATATATATATATATATATAAGAGTAAGAAAAAAGAAGTACTTGTGACTCGTTTGGAAAAAATATAACACTGTTTTTGATGGGTTGGAGTCAATAAAAGGGGCTATTTGTTGACTATTTTTTACTCGAGCTTTCAATTGTGATTACAATTTTTATCAAGAGCTTCTAAAAAATACAAAATGTCTTACAAAGTTGAACTAGAAATAAAAAATTTTTTGTTAACTCACCAAATAAAATTAGTTTTTTATATAAAACTACTGCTTACATAATAAATACAAAAAATATTAATAAAAAAATGTCTTATTCTAACAAATGTTTCTCTGAAAAATTTAGATAAAGTTTCTTAAGAAAAAAAATTGAAATTATAAACAAATATAGAATAGCTACAACCAGCCTAAAACGTCATAAATACTAACTTAAAAATTTTTATTTTTGACATATTGTCAAAAATAAAATTTTGTTTAAAAAATTCTTCTTTGTTTAATTTTATTTGGTAAGTTAACAAAAAATTTTTTATTTCTAGTTCAACTTTGTAAGACATTTTGTATTTTTTAGAAGCTCTTGATAAAAATTGTAATCACAATTGAAAGCTCGAGTAAAAAATAGTCAACAAATAGCCCCTTTTATTGACTCCAACCCATCAAAAACAGTGTTATATATATATATATATATATATATATATATATATATATATATATATATATATATATATATATATATTCGGAGGAATTCGCGGAACACTAGTGTTCCGCGAATTCCTTCCAAGTGTTCCGCGAAATACTCGCAATCCTACATACCATTTTGCTAAATTACTCTTTTCAAATAAATATTTTCAAATTTTAAAATAGCCACTTACGTACATTTTAATTTAATAAAATTCTGCAGCGTAAATGTTCATTTGCCCAACGTGACAACACCGCGTCGGCACAGTGCACACGTTGGATTTTATAAGCGCTGAGCGCTGAGCTCCGCAGTGGCCACAGCCAATCTGAGTCACCCACGCCACAGTCTGCAACTGAATGTTGAATTTGTTACATTGCACAAACGTAATACGTGAAAATCGCTGTGTCAGTTTTTTTATGATAACGTTTACGTACGGCTTATCTATCAAAGGTAAGTAATTGCATATTTTATACAAAATGTGAAGCATTCATCCGCATTATTTTGTTTAGAGACGAATAAATTAAAATGGATAAGTTCCTCAAACTTAAAAGAAAAACTACTGTGGAACAACTCATAATTAATGATGATGAAGCGAGCACCAGCGGAGATACTGGAACTTTACGAAGTGGGGTTGATGACAAATCGAAGCGCAGCAAAAAAATGTTGAACCGGCAATATTTGGATGAATATTTGGATTATGGCTTCATTTGGACTGGGGAAGAAGACTGTCCAATTCCCAAGTGTATTGTTTGTGGGCAGACACTCGCTAATAGCGCAATGGCTCCGGCTAAATTAAAACGCCATTTTACTACCAAACACGCTAGTGTAGCTTCAAAAAATAAAGATTATTTCAAGCGACTTTTGGAGACACAAGCTAAACAAGCGAAACAATTTGAAAGGTCGCTAACAATTTCCGACAAAGCACAAATAGCTTCATATAAGGTCGCCGAATTAATTGCTTTGAAACAGAAACCACACACTGTTGCAGAATCTCTTATATTACCAGCATGTTGTGAGATGGTCAAAATTATGTTTGGCAACGATGCACAAAACGAAATACGGAAAATTCCTATGTCGGATGATACAATAAGAAGGAGGATTGTTGATTTATCTGCAGATATTGAGGAAAAAGTTACAAATAAACTTTACAAAAAAAACTTCGCATTGCAGGTGGACGAATCCACTGATATTAGTGGCAAAGCTCATTTATTAGGATTTATTCGATTTGTCGACGAAGGTGAAATAGTCAATCAGTTTTTATGCTGCAGAGAACTTACAGCACGTACAACAGGTCAGGATGTATTTGATTCCATAACGTCATATTTAGAGAAAAAAAATATATCATGGGACTTTTGCGTAGGAATTTGTACGGATGGTGCCCCTTCCATGGTAGGCTCCATAAAAGGTTTTTGTACCCTTGCAAAAAAGCGAAATGAAAATATCATATCTACGCACTGTTTCTTGCATAGAGAATCTCTAATTTCAAAAACGCTACCAGTTACTTTGAAATCTGTATTAGACCAAGTGGTTAATGTCGTGAATTACATCAAATCAAGACCACTAAAAACCCGTCTTTTTAAACAACTCTGCATCTCAATGGAATCAAAGTATGAATGTTTGTTGCTGCACACCGAAGTTAGATGGTTGTCAAGGGGCAAAGTATTATGTCGAATTTATGAACTTAGAACGGAGCTGTTAACTTTTTTCCAAGAAGAAGGTAATGACACATTTACCACATATTTTGAAAATGATGCATGGTGCACTAAAGTGGCATATTTGGCCGATATTTTTAATTATTTAAATGGCGTTAACTCAAGTATGCAAG